TCGCATTTCAAGGTGTCCGATTGCTCTCACTATTTTTATAACAGCTAGGAAGCGTTACTTCCTGCAGTGGTTCTCCGGCGTGCTAACAGGCCGAAAATTGATGAAAGACTTTCGTGCGTCACACATGAGAACACAGATCTTTGGAAATCGTTCTTTTCAATATTTTTCGTGAAACGAAAACGAAAGTAGTAGAGCATTAAGCATATTCCATCCTGGGCTTGTTTAATTATTTTTCGATGATTGTTTTTTGTATCCGAAGCCTACTTAGCAATTTTACAATATTATAATTATATATATAATAGTTTTATATAATAATATATACCTTTATTATAGTATATATTATTATATATTTTATTACATATTTAGATTTATATTATATAATATATAATATATATATAATCTACTTAAGTCTACTTAGCAATTTTACAATATTATAATTATATATATAATAGTTTTACATATGATAATATATACCTTTATTATAGTATATATTATTATATATTTAGATCTATATTATATAATATATAATAATGTTTTATAATACATAATATATATAATAATTATACATATTACATTTAATATACATAATAATTATATATATTATATAATTGTAGAATAACTGTAACATAATGAAAAGATTCTCTGCATTATTTCCAACGATGCAGATTCGTACATTCTCAAATACAGTAAATTCTCCCTGATTGACGCTCAGATTATGCACAAAAATGAACAATTTTTGGAAGAACAGATACAATTATTCGAGCCTCGCGGTTCGATTTTTTTATAGTCGTTGACAATCGGTAACTGAAAAAACAAGCCGCGTGGCTCAAATAATCGTATCTGCTCTTCCCAAATTGTCCATTTTTGTGCGCAAATTATGGAAAAATTATTGTAATCCGCGCGTCAATTAGGGAGAATTTATTGTATACGATGCTGTGTCACTATGCGAACCGAAATTTTCGCACGTCGTTCGATCAAGACCGGAACGAGGAACAAATTTCCTTCGTTAACAAATATCTTCATTACCGCGTAAGAATCAAATAAGAATGCCATTAATAAAAATGCTGTCGAATTTATTCAAAGAAAATTCATCAGGCAAAAATATCGAGGAAATTCCTACCGAACTCCGAATTACGGCGATCAACGTAGAAAATTTGCGTAGAAGATTCGGCGCGTGGTCATCGCGAATCTAACAGAAGGCCCGCTTTCGTGACTTTCAGCAGATTAAGCTGGCTCGTAACAACCGAGAGCAGATACGATTACCGGAGAAAGTACCAGCCGTCGTGATCTTGTGGGTGCGAGATGAGCGAGTATTCAGAGCAAATTACAACGACACGCGTGCACTTATGGAGCCGCAATTGAAAAGCATTCGATGTTCGACTCTCGACTCGTTCGTCTGGCCTACTTCGATCGCAAGAGATCTGTCGGAAGGGGGTGTCGTTGCAAAGCATATAGGGTGTCCCGGAAATGTCTCGCAATCCGAAAGTGGCAGGTTCCTCGGGTCATTTGAAGCAACTTTTTCCTTTACAAAAGTTTTCTCCGAGGCCCCGTTAACGAGTTATTAACGAATAACAGTGACCAATGAGAGGCGAGCTCAGCTGGCGCAAGGCGACCGAGCCAATGAGCNCTTAAGTCTACTTAGCAATTTTACAATATTATAATTATATATATAATAGTTTTACATATGATAATATATACCTTTATTATAGTATATATTATTATATATTTAGATCTATATTATATAATATATAATAATGTTTTATAATACATAATATATATAATAATTATACATATTACATTTAATATACATAATAATTATATATATTATATAATTGTAGAATAACTGTAACATAATGAAAAGATTCTCTGCATTATTTCCAACGATGCAGATTCGTACATTCTCAAATACAGTAAATTCTCCCTGATTGACGCTCAGATTATGCACAAAAATGAACAATTTTTGGAAGAACAGATACAATTATTCGAGCCTCGCGGTTCGATTTTTTTATAGTCGTTGACAATCGGTAACTGAAAAAACAAGCCGCGTGGCTCAAATAATCGTATCTGCTCTTCCCAAATTGTCCATTTTTGTGCGCAAATTATGGAAAAATTATTGTAATCCGCGCGTCAATTAGGGAGAATTTATTGTATACGATGCTGTGTCACTATGCGAACCGAAATTTTCGCACGTCGTTCGATCAAGACCGGAACGAGGAACAAATTTCCTTCGTTAACAAATATCTTCATTACCGCGTAAGAATCAAATAAGAATGCCATTAATAAAAATGCTGTCGAATTTATTCAAAGAAAATTCATCAGGCAAAAATATCGAGGAAATTCCTACCGAACTCCGAATTACGGCGATCAACGTAGAAAATTTGCGTAGAAGATTCGGCGCGTGGTCATCGCGAATCTAACAGAAGGCCCGCTTTCGTGACTTTCAGCAGATTAAGCTGGCTCGTAACAACCGAGAGCAGATACGATTACCGGAGAAAGTACCAGCCGTCGTGATCTTGTGGGTGCGAGATGAGCGAGTATTCAGAGCAAATTACAACGACACGCGTGCACTTATGGAGCCGCAATTGAAAAGCATTCGATGTTCGACTCTCGACTCGTTCGTCTGGCCTACTTCGATCGCAAGAGATCTGTCGGAAGGGGGTGTCGTTGCAAAGCATATAGGGTGTCCCGGAAATGTCTCGCAATCCGAAAGTGGCAGGTTCCTCGGGTCATTTGAAGCAACTTTTACCTTTACAACAATTTTCTCCGAGGCACCGTTAACGAGTTATGAACGAAAAACAATGGCCAATGAGAGGCGAGCTCGGCTGACGCGAGGCGACCGAGCCAATGAGCGGAACTGGGCTTCGCGCGCTGGTTGGCTGGGCCGCCTCGCGTCAGCCGTACTCGTTTCTTATTGGTCACTGTTTTTCGTTAATAACTCGTTAACGGTGCCTCGCAGAAAATTTTTGTAAAGGAAGAAGCTGCTTCAAATGATCTGAGAAACTCGCCATTTCCGGATTACGAGACATTTTTGGGACACCCTGTAGAATAAGCATCTTGTAACATAAGATCGCAACTAATACAAATTTAACGCAACTATGATCCGCGCGTTTGTTCTACCGATATGCAATCATACATCGAAGCCGTAGAAGTTACAATGTTACGATGTTCGTGTGTGTACGGTACACAATTTAGCTGGTGCTGATGAATCTTGTCGGACTCATTATACGCTACACGATCATGTTAGATACGTGCATGCTCATCGACTTATTCTGATATATACTATACTTTGATTACAGGACGTGTTCGCGTCTACGTCGCCGTTTTATTGCAGCTGATGAATTTACTCGCTTTTTAGTCTCAGATCGACGTGATTTTGTGCCTTGTATGTATCTAATGTAATTATCTTATCTGTCTTCCTTGCAATTATCTAAGCAAATTAAGGCAAGATTTTGTATTAGATTCAAAGGAAGTGATGATATAAATATTGCGAAAGTATTACAATATATGAAGGTAATGTTGTAGAAAAGAATGAATAATGTTTCTTTCGTAAATCAGTGTAGAAATATTTTATTTAGATTTAGAATGTAAAATATGCCAGCAGGGCAAACGGATGTAAATGATTTTTTAATAGAAGCTTATGATTAAGGAAGACGATAAAGAACGTAGTGGAACAACTTCAAAGTATTCTTACTTTTAATTCTTGGATAATACAGCTTAATCTAAAACAGCCTTATAAAACAGATTATAAAACAATTAACTGCTATGAATACCTTGCGTGAATACCGAATTGTTCTTATACGCTCTTGTAAACTTTATGGAACGTCGCTCTTTATCGAAATAACCATTTAACGAGAGCTTTTTTTTACTATTTTTTGTCTCGTGGATTAGTCCCGTTGTCATCTAAAAGACAATATTGAGTCATTTAGTTCAGTTTTAAAGAAGTTATTGATTTTTAGGAGCTGTTCGAATACTTTCGCGAGCTACTGTACGTAGAGTATATGTTAATGTTAAGTAAATATTAGTAATAACATTGTTAATTTTATAGAATAAAACTATCTTTTTGATCCAATATTTTAACAGCGACGCTTGCTCTTCGTTTGACGAGTATTGAGAGTGTAAAGAGATAGTATATAAGTAGTAGTATATAATATAGTATATAATATAGATAGTATATAAGTAGTAGTGTATAATACTCATATACTGTCTCTTTATATTATATACTAAATTATATGCTACTACTTATATACTGTCTCTTTATATTATCTACTATATTATATGCTACTACTTATATACTATCTCTTTATATTAGATACTATAAATAGTAATATATAATATAGAGAATATAATATAAGGGGATAGTATATATATATATATATATAGTATAGTATATATATAGTATATAAGTAGTAGTATATAATATAGTATATAATATAAAGAGACACTATATAAGTAGTAGTACATAATATAGTATATAATATAAAGAGGCAGTATATATATAAGTAGTAGCATATAATATAATATATAATATAAAGAGACAGTATATAAGTAGTGTAGCTATAGTATATAATATAAAAATATAACATAAAGACACATAGTACAGAGATATACAACATAGTACATAGAGACTCGATTCTCGCGACACATATAGATCCGCGCTCCGAAAAAAAGGCGCCGCATCTAACTGATTAACCAAAGCAATTCGCATTGATTTACTCTCGTTCGTTCCTGTGAGCCGAGCAGTTCAACGAGGACGCGCTCGACGATGACGCGGTTCGTTACGAAACGTAGAGACGACCACCCGCGCTCGGGGTTCAGTCCGCGGGATGCTGAAGCCGTCGGAAGTTTTACGAACTGCACTTGAAATCGAAGGTGGAGATGACGGGCCCCACGGCCGGTCGTCGAACCCCGTGCACGCCGCGCCGCGACAAGAGCGAAAGAGGGAAAAAAGGGGAGCAACGGAGACAAGATAGGAGAACGCAAGCCAATCGGAAAGAGAGTGCTTTCTTCGTGAATCGGTGACGGTGAAGGTCCTCGTATATAAGCAACAGCCGGTACTGCAATTGTCAGTGTGACTGGTCTCATCGGAAGCGCCCTATCTGCTTACACGCCTGCGAACCGGATCAAGATGTTGCGAGTTGTAAGTTTGAACGTCGACGGCCGTTAAAGAGGGAACCCTTGACTCGAGGACAATCCGAGGAGAACAGAGAGTGCGAAACGGAACCAAGGGGGAAACGGATCCGAGGAAAAGTCCCTTCCCTTTCGCTTCGCCGTTTCCGTTTTGTGGAGGTGCGACGACAGTGAACGTAGCATCCGAGAATATCGGTGTCTCCGAATGTGGTTTCGGACCGTCGATCGAAAGGTAGAAGCAAACATTTTCGGAGAGGGAGGGGGTGGGGGGAGAGATAGATCAGCTCAAAAATTTATGTCACGCCGCGGCGAAAAAGGACGGCGGAGAAAGTCGATCTCTAATCTCCGTTCGCAAATTGCGTTAATTATTTTCGAATGATCGAGTTTCGTAGATGGCAGCACCAGCGGGTTTCTCATTCCCAGGAAGCGGTTTCGAAAGTTTTCGCCGCGCGTTCGCGTGACCGAGTCGGTGGTTCCCTCGCCCTGTAATTTCGGCCGGATTCGGTAGCCTTCAATAGTGATTGCAACTTTGCAGTTTCTGTTCGCGTTGGCCGTGACGGCCGCGAGGGCCTCTTATTTTTCCTCCCTGGAAGGTCATGGCCACCAGATCGAGCCGAAGCTCATCTCGCAGTCGGTACACCTGAAGGAGATCCCGACGAAAATCATCAAGGTCACGAAGACCGCGGTCGTCAAGGTGCCGGTCCCGTATCCCGTCAAGGTACGCGGAAGGGATGCTCCCTTCGCATCAAGCTATCTCTCTAGTTGTTGTATTAAAGTTCGTAGTTTGCTAGGTACAGTAAATTCTCCCGAATTGTCCTTCAGTTTGGAAACGAAAATGGACAATTTCGGGAGACGAGATACGATTAATCGAACAACAATTACAAATAATCGTATCGAATCGTAAAAGTGGACAATTTGGGAAGAGGAGATACGATTATTTGGAATTTTTGTTATTCTGTTTAAAAACTGAAAGTCTAGCAATTGGTAGATGTGCAGTAAATCCTCCCTAATTTTCCCTTAGTTCGTAAACAAAAGTGGACAATTTAGGAAGAGGAGATACGATTATTTGTATTTGTTGCTCGAACAATCGTATCTCTTCCCAAATTGTCTACTTTTGTTTATAAGCTAAGGGAAAATTAGGGAGAATTTACTGTACATCTACTAATTGTTAGATTTTCAGTTTTTAAAGAAAATACAAATTTTCTTTTAGCATAACATCGTTAAATGCTGCTGACGTATCCAGTGGTTTTTATTTTTGTTCCAAGTGCTTAAAACTTGCAGTCTACTAATTATGATGCACTTTGCAACACACTTGGACATTATATACGAAAATTGATACACAGATTGTGCACAAAAATGGACAATTTGCAGCGTATATTTTCTTTGTGAGATATTAAAATAATTTAGCATACGAAAATTACGAATTCCCCGGTTACAGTAAATTCTCCCTAATTGACGCTCAGATAGCGCACAAAAATGGATGATAGGAAAGAGAAAAGATACGATTATTCGAGCCTTGCGTCTCGTTTTTATAATTACCAAATATCAACAACTATCAAAACGAACCGCAAGGCTCGAATAATCGTGTCTCCTTTTCCCAAATTTTCCACTTTTGTGTGCAACCTGAGCGCGAATTAGGGGAAGATCACTGTATACACAAAAATTGATAACTTGAGCAAAAGAAAATACGATTATTCGAGTCTTCCATCTCGTTTTTATAGTTACCAAATATCAACAACTATAAAAACGAACCACGAGGCTCGAATAATCGTGTCTCCTTTCCCCAAATTTTCCACTTTTGTGCGCAACCTGAGCGCGAATTAGAGAGAAATAATGGTATCTCCTTTCCCCAAATTGTCCACTTTTGTTTACAAGCTGCAGGAAAATAGCAGAGAATTCACTGCACTCTGTTAACAACGTAAACAAAAAAGCAAGGTCGATCTCTCGAATTATTACGACACTTTCTTGCATAATTTCTCGCGATCGCGAAATATCGAAATTTCGCGCATAAGTAGACGCGGCTTAGGGAAAATACACCCTATATTCCTTTCTAAAAAAAAAACGAACTTCGATCGCCCGATTCAACAACCAACCGACTTGAAACCCCGCGAGCCTCGAGGGTAAACTACGTTGCAATGTTTGAACCGTCCCGCGTCTTTAAGCCCGTCAATTACACCGTTCCTTCTGCAACATTCGCATCCCCCCCAAAAAGAAGCTTCTCTTCTCAAGCGAAACAACATCCTCGTCAAGCCGGAGGGTATCGGTTTGACAGGCGGTTCCCGTAGCCCCGAAACTCTGTGCAAGCAGAAACTCTGCAGCGTCGGAACGCGATCGTGTCGGAACACCGCGTACACGCGATAACATAATTGCCAGCTTCGGCCTGCGCCGGTGGTGGCGTTCGCGTCACGGGGGCTTCGCCGACGAGTGGCAACACGAGATCCGAGGCGCGCTCGATCCTCGCGGCCGCTGATCTAGAATTCCTTTCTATCTCTCTCTCAGGTGCCCCATCACATACCCGTCCCGGTGCCGGTGAACCACCCGATCGCGGTTCCGTACACGAAGCTAGTGAAAGTCCAGGAAACGGTGCCGGTCGAGGTGTCGAAGCCGGTCCCGATAGAGATCCACCAGCAAGTGCCGGTGGTGGTGCCGAAGGCGGTGCCCATACCGCATCCGGTTCCTGTTCCCCAGCCGGTGGCCATTAACAAGCCGATCTTCTACCCGGTGCCGCACCCAATACCTTATCAGGCACACAGCGAGTCCGAGGGCGGCGGCGGCGGCGGCGGCGGAGGCGGCTACGATTCGGGATCCGACCACGTGGGACACGAGTCCGAGAACTACAGTTCGTACACGTTGAACCAGCAAGGCCACGGCGGAGGGTACGATCAGGATCATTCCGGCGCCCAAGGACACTTCCAGCCGTCCCAGCCCGACTACAATTATTGATCGCGATCGTACGCTCCATGGAAACAGACGCGACTGTTGGCCGCCCTCGACAACTTTTTGGGTGCCCTCGTAGGAACGTCGATAGAAAGAGGACGTTCGGATCCCGCCGTATTCCTTCAGGCGAAAACGTGCTCGGAGCTTCGCCGCTCCGGAGCCTATGGCAATTTCATGGTTTGCTTTTCGCGGTCCTCCAGTTCGATCCATTGGGAAGTATTATTCGTTTGCAGTTGATGGCGGGAGAAAGAAAGTTGGACTTCGCTAAACCAGGATATTTTATTATTTTATATAATATTTTATACAATGTTATATAGAAATATTATATAAATGATATTATATGAGAAAATATTATATAAAAATATTATATATATTTTATTTTATATAGTATAATATATATATTATATTGTATATTGTAATATATATTATATTATATATATTGTATATTAAATATATTATACAATATATAATAATATGTATAATAATACACAATATAATATATATTATATTATATATATTATTATAATATAGTAATTATAATTTTATATTGTTATAATATAATAATTATAATAATTATATTAATATAATAATATAATATATTATTATTATATATTATAAATATAATATATATATAATTATTATTATATATTAAAAATGTAATATATAATAATAATAATATAATATAATATAATAGTATAATATAATATTGTTAATATATATATTATATATGTTATATATATTTTGTTATCGATGTTTCGGTTTTATCGAGTTTAAGAAGAGCGAACGAGGAGTTCTTACGTTCACAAGTTTATAAATTCGCGTTGGACGTCAGGATTATCGTTGGACGTCGCTAAACCGGGTTGAGGCGTTCGCCGATCTGTGGAGCGCTCGCGATTACTTTCTACTTGTGTCGACCCGTCGATTTTGTTGAGTTCAAAGAGAAGGAAGGAGAATATTGCTCCGACCGAGATGATCGATTAACCTGTTATGCAAAATGATCGTCCATATCCTCCGCGACGTTCCCACCCGATTGTATACCGCGTACCGTTAAGTCGTTAAGTTTTTGTTTGCAATCTGTTTTTCCTGTTGGTTAAATGAAGTTTGTTTTGCCTATCCGCACTTTGAAGTAATAAAAAGACAAGCGAACGTGGTAGCATATTACTCAACCTTTTTGCGATTCCCCTTTCAGCCCGATCCGATTCCCATGGAACACGTTTCATCGCGACGCGCGTTAAATATCGTTCAGCGGCCGGCAAAAAGGCGCTTGCCGTAGTATCGGCCGATCTTTCACGGTTCGATGAAATGGAAAGCGGATTGTCCCGCCACGATTTGATGAGTCACGGGACTGGTTCGATGGCTACGTGATCTATATTCCGATCCCCGAGCTATTTCGGACCGGTAAAATTGCGGTTAACGTTCCCGCTATGGGAAAAAGGAAACGGGGTGGCGACGACGTCGGCAAGTATCCGTAACAGGTTTTAGAAAATAACATTGGAATTGGAAACGCGGTTCCCGTTCCTTGCTGCAAGAAAGTGAACTTTTACCCGCCTCGATAAACTATTTTCGATTCGTGCTGCGAGCCCGATCGCTGCGAATACATGCAGTTTTGATGCGCCGGCCCGCGCGCGAACGCGACGAAACTTTTGATCGGTGGATGAAGATATTTGGAAAATGTATTTTTTAGTAGATTTTATGTTGCGTTATTTTTCTGAATGTTATTTCGTAGATCTAACCCATTGCAGTCGAAGCCAAATTAACAATAGTTCTTCCGGACCACGGTTTCTTTTTCCATTTCATATGACCTAGTGAATTTAATGCAATCGAATATTGTGATCCATGCAACAGTTACTCTTTCAATAGCTCTTCAAATATAAATGGATTTTATTAATAAAATTATTTTGAGACGCGGTAGAACAATTTTATTAACACGTTCCGTGCCAAGCCATTTTTGCCTAACTTGTCGTTCAGGCCATTTGATGTTTTGACTAAAGATTGATACATTATCACATAATATTTCATTATATCATCAGTAGATAAGTAGTGATTGCCCGAATCAACCGTTTTTATGCAGCTCTTGCTTTAAAAAAGTCAAACATTGTAATTAATAGTTATTGTGTATATAACGATTAAACAAATTTATGTGCTTTGTTCTATACAGCATTTTTTACAATGCCTCTCATCCTTTTGGTGGAAATATATTTTATACGATCAAATTTGTCACAAAATGTATGTCTTCAGCGCTTTAAATAAATATGTCCGCGTGTACCATTTATGGTACACGTGGCCTGATGGTCAAGTTTAACGTGTACCATTTATGGTACACGTGGCACGGAACGTGTTAATGGCGCCTCGAAGTCGCCGCTCGAGTGCAAAGGGTTAAACTTATTTGGATTCGAACAATTGAATCAATTTAACCATTTGCCCTGAAATCATTTGAATGCAGAATTAACCCTTTGCACTCGAGTGGCGACTCTGAGGCGACGCTAAAAATTGTTGCACTATTTTCAAAAGAATTTTCATGCTATTAAATTTGTCTGTGCACGAGAAATTGTTAAATAATAATTGAGAGTAAGCTTTCTGTGAGCTTTCAATTTCATATGTATCGAATAAAAAGAATCGTATCGAATGGAAATAATGTGGGTTGAAACAAATGTTTTCAATTTGGAATGAAAATAGTTTCGAGTGCGAAGGGTTGAGACAGCTTCGAGTGCAACGGACCACTTTAGATTGCACGAATAAGTGATTAAAATGAGCGGTCTTAATCGTCGGAGCATCAGAAACTTCAACGACAGTATCGCGTATTAACCCTTTAATTGCCACGATCCCCGTTTGGGGATTTTAGAATTTTACGCACACCACTTGGCGCGAAAAATATATCAAGTGCGTTTGACAGTCTAATGTTATTTTATAGATATCAGTCAATATTGTTTATAGCTGACGGTGTGTACTTTATGTTTCATTTCTTTTCAACGAGTGAACAAATTTGGAAATCATCTGTAAGTTGAGCACAACAAAATTATCATATTTGAAGCATGATATTTTTGGTTTGGTTTTTATATATTATGGATATTGTTGT